CAATTCAAACTATATTAATATAACAACCAAGTCATCCCCAACGGGTTTCACCAAAACCTTAGATAAAAGTATTTAGCTACTCATGACAACATAAGAATAAACTACGAAAATATTCATAATGGAAAATCGCAAGAAAAATAGAAGAGAATAAGAACTATGATGTTTTGGGTGATCTCTCACACTTGTTCTTCTTGCCAAAATAATCTCAAAATCAGCTCTCCTTTCTTGGGCGAGTTTCCTACATCTTATAAGGGNCACATCTTATAAGGGTTTTATAAAAGTTTTCCCGAATTGACACTTTGGCCCCTTAAATTTCTGGGCTGTGAACATGCCGTTGCGGCCGCGGCGCCGACCGCAGTACTGACCGCGGAGGACACTGACTCCAACCGCGACACGGACCGCGGTGGCAACCGCGGTGAGTATGCTGGGTCTTTTTGTCTTCGCGTTCCTTCTCTTTTTGCTCTTTTTTGTTTGGGTACTTCTTGAGTGGGTGTTTTCTTCACGTTATTGCCTCTAAACACTTCATGTTGTTTCCTCATATCTTATATTCCCTGCGAAACCAAATAGCATTAATTAAAGCATTTTATTGGCAACTTACATTATAAAACAACAACAAAACATGGGCAATTATGGTGTAAATAATAGCTATATAGCCTATTATCAATATCCACCAGGACCTTTGGTAGTACCACATGAAAATGTAAAGGATTGTGTTGTTAGTGGATATCACAATCCTAAAGGGACTAGATTATTCGCAAACGTCATGAAACTGCAGCGCGATCCTAAACTCTGATCAAATCCTGATAAGTTCGATCCAGAGAGATTTATCGCTGGTGATATTGACTTCTGTGGTCACCACTATGAGTTTATTCCATTTGGTTCTGGAAGACGATCTTGTCCGGGGATGACTTATGCATTGCAAGTGGAACACCTAACAATGACACATTTGATCCAGGGTTTCAATTACAGAACTCCAAATGACGAGGCCTTGGATATGAAGGAAGGTGCAGGCATAACAATACGTAAGGTAAATCCAGTGGAATTGATAATAACGCCTCGCCTGGCACCTGAGCTTTACTAAAACCTAAGACCTTTCATCTTGGTTGATCATTGTTTAATACTCCTAGATGGGTATTCATTTACCTTTTTTCAATTAATTTCCAGTACGATCTTTTTTAATTTGGTATGTTTATAACAATAAGTAAAGAATGATTGTTCTAATATATAAAGATTTATTGAAGATAATTGACTGATTGTACCACAATTTCCTATGTAAGTGTTAATTATCTACTTGATCAACAACTTAATCTATGTTTGAAATTTGCCTAATATCATGATATTACTCCATCAAATTCAAGAAATAATCATTTCCTACTCTTTACTGGCCGTGAAGTGAGTTGTGAAGTAAAAGTGAAAAAAAAAAAAAGAGAAGAGAATTTTTATATTGTCTCCCTTGCCGGAATATTGTTGTTTTAAATGTTATCTCCCTTGCCGGGATTTGATTGTTGAACTATTGATCCCTTGCCGGGATTTTATTGTGATTCTATTTGTTTACTTGCCCTTATTGTTTGTGATTGTTGTTTGGGTAAGGAAGTGTGTAAAATCACGAAGGGTGATGTCGTGCGTTGTTTTGATGAGAGAGTGTTAAAGCACGAAGGGTGATGCCATGTATGATTTCGTGAGGAAGAGTGTAAAAGTACGAAGGGTGATGTCGTGCCGCACGATGTACAATTCCGTGCCAATTATATTGATTTTATGGTGAGGACGAGAGTAAAAGCACGAAGGGTGATGCCGTGCAGTTTATATTGATTCTTATGGTGAGGACGAGAGTAAAAGAACAAAGGGTGATGTCGTGCACTTGCTTGGTTTCTGATTCTTGTTGATAATTGAGATGTGGTGTTCTTTGTATTTACTTGTTGTCTTTCCATTTCTAAATGATGTTCCCCTGCAGCATGTTTCCCCCTCCCATGCCTAGTTGTACATTCCTGCTTTTACTTTTCGTCGTATATGATTTAACTGTACATATTTAATTGGTTGTCTAGTCCTAGCCTCGTCACTACTTCGCCGAGGTTAGGCTAGGCACTTACCAGCACATGGGGTTTGTTATGCTGATACTACACTTTGCACTATGTGCAGATCCTGGAGCAGTAGCATTCGGACCTTAGTTTGGGTGGCTGCCTTCAATCCAGTAGGAGATTCCGAGGTAGTCCTGCAGGCGTCTGTAGGCCTTGGCGTCTTCTCTTATCCTTTTAGTCTATTTCTTTTACATATTTCAGAGACAGTGTTGTAATAAATCTTTCAGACTTTTATTTGTATTATTCCTAGACAGTCTGTAGAATTGTGACACCAGTCTTGGGTAGTTTTTGTATGGATTGATATTGGCATTTTTCTTAAATTATTACATTTCAGTCTTTCGCTTATTAGATTTCCGCTGCTTATCAATTGTTAGTTATTAATTGTAAAGGACTAAAATGGAAAAAAAGGTAAATAATTTAAATAGTTGGCTTACCTATTGGGAAAAAGCGACTCTCGAGTGTGGGAAATTCGGGTCGTGACAATGTTTGTGGTCCATACTATTGAATTCTTGCTAGAAAAAGGTGATGTAGCGAGTTGAGCAACTGGACAATTAGGGATGTGACATGAAAAGGGTTCATATATTTATTTTTTTAATTACTTCAGAGGAGGAGGGGAATACTACGTTACGTATGGGGTTTGAACCATCCACTTCAATTGTCGTAGATATGGAACTTATTATGTGAGTTATCCCTCAACTCCGATTCAATTATGTTTCCAACGACTTCAAACAATATTGAGTTCATTACTCAGAAGGATACTTTACTTACTACTATATTATTTGTAGTAGTAAGTTGATCACAATTTCTCGTGGGAACGATACTTTACTTATTACTATATTACTTGTCGATCGCGTACACTTGCGTGAGTGTTTTGGTCTCACAGGAGTTCAATAAACAAATGAGGATTTATGATGGTAATCAAGTGAAAAATGGAGTCAAATGACGAAAAGTTGAGCAGCAACATCTTAACAAGAGAAAACCCCACTAGCGTTGGTCATGCGCTGGTCATGCGCTCCCGTGCTAGTTCAGTGATTTGGACAGAAAGAAACTCGATATGCGCGGGATGTGCACTGGTCATGCGCTCCCGCGCTAGTCCAGTCCGGAAAATCAATTATTTGGGGAAAACTGGAAAATCTGAGAGGATCCACTCAACTTACATAAAGTAAAGCTCCATTATTGAGAGAGAGATCAGATTTTGAGGGGAAAAAAAGCCATAGAAGAAGGAGGAGCTTCATCTTGGAGCTAAGAAAGGAGAAGAAGAACAACATCTTGGAGCAAGGATTCAAAGAGTTCTTCTAAACTTTCTTCTATTTGCTTGTTAATATTATGTTTAAAACTTTTATTGTTGATTTTTGTATGATTATGAGTAGCTAAAAACTCTAGTATTCTTGGGTCATGGATGTTAGATAATTATGTTATTTGAAGCTTAGATTGATGATCTTGAATTTATCATTATGGGTTGTTTATTTGATTCTGCTTCTAATTATTTTACTGCGTAGCTAACAGTGAAATATTATTTATGAATC